ACACACACACACACACACACACACACACACACACACACACACACACAGCTCTCATTTTGCTACAATATTTACAAGGAAAGAGACCAGAGACCAACTGAGAATCAAATTGTTGTACATATGGGACATAAGAATTTTTTTTAGCATCAAATCTAGATTTATGTGACAGTCCTCTATGCGGGGGACAGTTTGACGACTAGGGTGGAGTGGGCAGCATGGTCCGGGAGACTCACTACACACCTTATTTTCTGAGATGGGATTTTGCTATGTTTTTCAGACTAGACTCAAAGTCTTGACTTAAGCCCCTGATCTGCCTTATCCTCCTGATTAGCTGCGTTCACACCATAATAAGCTTTACCATGTAGATGGAAAGGGAGCCTGCCGGCAGGTTGAGTTTTTTCCATCAAGGTCTAACTTTTAAGAATCTGTGCCATTCATGTTCTCTGTAGCAATTTTGTCTTCTCTCAGCGCTTGGGAGGCAGAGGCTGGTAGATCTCTGAGTTGGAGGCCAGCCTGATCTATAAAGAAAGTTCCAGGACAGCCAGGGCTACCCAGAGAAACCCTGTCTCTAAAAATAAAAAAATTATGGTGGACATAATTTAGAAGTACTTTATCTCCTGTAGTTCCAACTGACAGATGTTGTCTCCTGTGAGACCATGCTCAGAGCTAGTTTTCAGTGAGATGTTTATAGAATTAATCAAAATCCTCCCATTTTCCTGCAGATCAGCTTTCTCGCTACCAGAGATGAGGATGTGATTTACCCAGGCACTACCCACCAGGCAGAGTAGAAATTCTGAAACTGCCTTAAGTCAGCTGACAGAAACAAGACTTCCCTCAACCCAAGTCACCAGGTTTTGATTCGCTTTCTCTGGGATGAAGCTTTTTGACAAATGGAAGTCTTGTTCTCTCTTCCGGGTGATAAAGGGAAGAGAACCACCCCTGCTGGTGTTGTAGGCAAATGGTGGGATCTATAAAAGATCATTCTGAGTGAAATATCCCAGAAGGAGAAAGACAAACACGGTATATACTCACTTATATAGACCTATAAGATATGATAAACATAATGAAATCTATACACCTAAAAAAGATAATCAAGAGAGCGGACATGGGGTAAGATGATCAATCCTCATTTAGAAAGACAGATGGGATGTGCATTGAACTTTTGACAGGAGTCTACTGAGCGCATCTGAAAGACTCTAACTAGCAGTGTTTTCAAAGCAGATACAAAGACTCATGACCAAACCTTCGGCAGAGTACAGGGAATCATATGAAAGAAGGGGAGTTAGTATGATGGGGAAAGGATAGGAGCTCCACAAGGAACCAAATATATCTGGGCACAGGGTCTTTTCTGAGACTGACATTCAACCAAGGACCATGTATGGATATAACCTAGAACCTCTGCTCAGATGTAGCCTGTGGTAGCTCAGTAACCAATTGGTTTCCCATAGTGAGGGGAACAAGGACTATTTCTAACAGGAACTCAATGACTGGCTCTTTGACCTCCCCAATCCCCAAGGGAGGAGCAGTCCTGTTAGGCCACAGAGGAGGGCTTTGCAGCCAGTCCTGAAGATACCTGATAAAACAGGATCGGATGCATGGGGAGGAGGTCCCCCCCATCAGTGGACTTGGAAATGGGCAGGGTGGAGATGAGGGAGGGAGGGTGGGATTGGGAGGGAATGAGGGATCGGGACACGGCTGGTATACAGAGTTAATAAGATGTAACTGATAAGAAAAAAGTAAAATTAAATAAAAAAAATACAAGTTTAAAAAAAAAGGAGGAAATGAGGCTGTTGTTCTGTTTTTGTTTTCTTTTGTTTTTAATAGAAATATGATCCCAAGAAGACCCAGGGTACAGAAAATCATGAAGAACCAAAAAGGATTTAAAAAGAAAATAGAAAGAAAGAAAGAAAGAAAGAAAGAAAGAAAGAAAGAAAGAAAGAAAGAAAGAAAGACTGACTTGAATTTTACATCTCACTTTAACCTTCAAGTTTAATAACATGGTTTTATCCAACTTAATTCTGTCACAGGAGGAGATGAATGGACTCAGTCATTCCATTCAGTCCAGAGAGCATCTGCCCGAATGCCCAGAGCAGCACGCCCATTCCATTACACTCATGCGTTCACATTCCACTGCTGAATGCCACCTCCCATTTGCTCTGTAAATAACTATTAACCTATTTACACTTATCCCCATGCTGACAAGAGCAGCTGTTTGTCTCTTCTCCCTTCTGACTTCTAAAGTTCCTGCTCCTCTCCAGTCTACCCTTCATCCTCGACCTCCCTTCCAGACAGGTGCGGCCAAACTACAGGTAGACACCCTGGGGAGAAAAAGAAAACAAACAAAAAAAACCCCCCAAAACCAAGGCAGGTACAAATGTGTCTACACCCTGATGAACTAAAAAGCTCTTAGGTATCAAGCCGGAGGCCACAGTTTGGAAAGGGGATTTAAGAAATCTTATTTGTGTTTAGCTAAGGGTCAGCATACAAGGCACTCTTGAAAGTCCTGTAGGAATCAGATAATGCTGGCAAGGGCACGTGCTTCCCTATAGCAGGACAATTAGGCAGGCAGTGGTCCCTGACAGAAAGGACAAAGAAGTTAGCTGAACACTTTCTCGCAAGCAGTAAAATGACTGCTGACCCGCTCCTCCCTGCTCGTCCAGCTAAGCAGCAGAAACAGCAACTAATTGTTGGCTTGGATGAGAACAAAGAAACACCGGCTCTTTGAATCCTTTCCCCCACCATACATGTAAAGAAAAAAGTTGGGGGCCAACTTTTAAAAGCCAGTAAGCAAACACATCAGTTCTCCAAGGACTGAGGAAAAAGTAAAATCCCATTTGCTGAGGCATCTCAAAGGCAGGCCTCGGCTCTTGCTGTAAGGCTGAACATACTTGACACCAAAGAAGGAGAAGCTGCCTTCCAAAGCTCACTGAGAGTGCAGTGACTGCTGCCGGGTCCACTTCTAATGCCGTGTTCTGAAGTTCTGTGCAGTTCAGTAAAATCCTAGACTAGAAACAGCATTGTTTCTATTAAGCCCTCCACCTGCTATATATACCTGGAGTCCTCGATAGTGTATAAACTTTATCTGTTATCCAGCAATAAACAGTAGAAAAGTTGTTTCAATTTAAATTCTTCCCAAATTATGCTTTAAAAATTCAGATCCAAATAGTATAATAAATTTTTCAATAATTATCAATTCAACACTTCTAACTGTGGGCTTAGATGACAATGAAGAATCACATCTTTGATTTTGTTTCTAGTGTTTATAAATAGAAATGAACAAATAAGTACCACAGTAAAAACGTGTATGTGGAAGTCTTAATTTCTTAGTTTGTTGGAGAAAGAGCTCTATAAAAGTTCATTTTGAAATACCCACTACTTAAAAGGTTCTCACTTGTTTATTTCTTTAATTGGAGGAGTGCCTGCACACATTGACTGAACAAGGGCAATTGTTCAGAATTGCAAGTGTTTCCCGGACAGGACAGTAAAACAAATTTTAGTGCTTATTGCAAGATAAAAAATCGGAGCCTCTTCATCCATTGTTAAGCATTTTTAATGTCTGGTATCAGAAAGGTCAGGGATGCCCAGTGGCATTCTGAAGATGCTCTGTGCAGATCTCAAATGATGCATCTTCTTAAGTTAACTTGTTCTTTTTTCATTAATTTTTATTTTTTATATTAATCACAGGTTTTTTTACTTTGTATCCCAGCCGTAACCCCTCCTTCATTCCCTCCCAATTCCATCCTTATCTCCTCCCTGCCACTTTCCAAGTCCACTGCTAGGGGAGGTCCTCCTTCCCTTCCATCTGACCCTAGTTTATCAGGTCTCTTCAGGACATGTATCAAAGCAGATGCGGACACTTACAACCAAACCTTTGGCAGAGTGCAGGGAATCATATGGAAGAAGAGGGAGTTAGTATATCCTAGAGAGGACAGGAGTTCCACAAGGACAAAATAAATCAGAGCACGGGGGCCCTCTATGAGACTGTTTCTCCAACCAAGGACCATTGTAAGGATATAACCTAGAACCCCTGTTTGGATGTAGCCCACGGTAGCACAGTAATTAAGTTAACTTGTTTAATCCTAGAATAAACCATCATTCTTTGAAGCTGGGCAGGTGATAGAAGAATTGTTTCCCAGTAAAGTGAAGCTGGTGTAGAGGAGGAAAGCACTGACCCCTTCTTTACTCTTGCTAATTCCGTGAACATACAGAGGAGAAATGATTGGTGCTGGAATGTTAATTGATTATTGATAATGACAAGGAAGACTATCAGAGACTAGAGTGGGTCATTTGTACAGCAGGCACTGTACAACAGCTCTTGAATGACTGTTAGGTAAGGCCAGGGGATTAGACATCTTCACCACTTCTCATATTTCTGTTTGGATTTTAGAAGTGTAACAGATCTCTCAGACCTGGTGGCCTGGGCTTAAGTCCTGACACTACCAGCAATGTGCCCTTTTTCTAGGCAATGAAGGTGAGCAAACTTGACACCAGCTTCCTATGGGCTAAGAATGTGCATAAAACCATGAAGACAATGGAGAGGAGCCACCAGCTCTTCCATTCTAGTCACCCCTCTGTCCCCCTGTGAAGCTATTTTAAAATAATGTTATGATACTACTCTCAAAACAGGTTTTATGAA